ATGTGTTCAAAGATTTGTGGAATGAATAAACAAATGAATAAAATATGTATTCCTATCTTCTCAATATATAGTATCTCCACTCCACTACTTCCACATTTGCTGAGGTACTACTATAAGGACAACATAGTAATTCAGTCTCTAGGGCAATTTAGTCAAAGGAAGCACATCTGAACTAGTGAGGCTGCCTGCGCATATTGACAGAGAGCATCCAACAAAGAACTTATGTCCAAAATATATAAAGAACTCTCACAAATCAATAATAAAAAGGCAGCAACTCAATAGAAAAATGGGCAAAAGACTTGAACAGATAATTCACAAAAGAGGAGACCCAGACATGTGAAGATGTAGGTCCTTACATTACCGGGATTGGAGGTACAGAAGCAAGAGTTTTAGTATTAAAATTGTACAACTCTCATATCCTGGTAGCTAGCAATGATCCTCCCGCATACAATGGGAGTAGTTCAGACTTTGAGACCTTTTGGGGAAACTATTTTGTGTACATGGGAGGATTTCAAAATTCAAATTTCAAAACTGGCCAAATTCCTAAAACAAAATTTTCTATTACAAACAGACACTGAAATATGGAAATAGAAAGCACCTTAAAAATAACCTATTCTCTGAATGGACCAAAAAAAATTTTTTTAAGGAGACCCAGAGAGGTGAATGACTGGCCAATCAAGAATTAATTTAGTAGCAGAGATAGGATGCAACATATCATCACCAAGTACTGGGAACTTACTAGGTATCAGGAACCGCGCTGGGTCCTTTTGTTAGTATTAGCTGATTTAATCTTCTCATTAACATTATGACATAGGTATTAGCATTCCTCTTTTACAGATGAGGAAATTGAGGTTAAGTGATTTGTCCAAATTCAGTCCCCAGACCCAGGAATAAAGGACTATATTCTTAACCATTAATGTATTCTGTCTCTCTGGAAGCCAGCACTCTTGATTTGAAGTTCAGTATAATACCTTTAAAGCTACAATTCAGCATTGTTTCCCTCTTCTCCCCAGCCTCAAGCTAATCAGTTTGCAGTGGAAAAAAAAAAAAAAGGCAACACAGAAGGTTAGACCTGAAAAAAGTTTCTCTAATTCAGTCTCTCAGTCCACAGTGAAGTCACTGAAGTGTAAGCACACAGTTGACTTTCCTAAGGCCAAAGCTACTTAGTGGTGAAGGCAGAGCTATTATCCAAGTTTCCTAATTCTCAAGGCAGTTCTCTTTTTACTATACCACAAAATCTTCCCCTCCCACATTCTCGTCTTCCAGAAGTTGGTATTGGTGTAGGGTCCAGAGTTCTTTCTGACTCTTTAAATGGACTGGCCAATGTGCGACAGGCAGGGTTGTTCATTAAGTGTACACAGCTTCTACTTCCTGGTCCATGCTCAATGCCATCTCCAGTTTTATACATGGCCAGAGTGGACAGCTGCTATGTGCTGTGCTGAAAAGTCCCCTCTGTTTTCAAACTGCTTATCTACATTAGCTTCACCTTGATATTTCAAACCCTCACATTGTTTGCTCCTTTGGGTTGAAACACTGGAAACCTTTGTTAAAATGCCAATAGACAGTATAACTAAAGGAAGGTCTTCCTTAACTGGAATTCATTTATGCAACTAGCACTTGACTCTTAGAAGAGCACTGGTGGAGTGGGACTCTGGAAAATTAGGATTTTCACAGCAGGATCAAATGGTAGAGGATGACCTGAGAAGTGTGAGGTAGGTTATAGTGGGAACAGCAGTGACCGGTCATGGCCCCATGAAGTTACTGAGCACGTGCGGAAGGTGGGAAGGAACTGAAAGCCAGGAAGTGGTAAAGAAACAGGATGGAGAATAGAGCACTTTGTACAAATTAGTAAGAGTCCCCTTGCACATTTTGGAGAATGGAGCCCAGACTAGATTTCTACCTTCACTGGCCCTCTTGTACACTGGCCAACCATTTGTGACAGCCGTGTAAATCACATCCATTAAAATGTTGCTGAGGGGCTGCCCTGCCCGCCACCCCTCCTGTTGCTACTCTTTTCCCAAGACAGCTGTAGGAAAAAGAGAACATTCACAGGGCTGGTCGCAGCCCTCAACGAATTTACTGAGCCCCTACTCTCTGTAGTCACTGTCTTCACAAAAACCTCAGTGATTTAGATATTATTTTCCCAACTTTACAGATAAGAAAAATAATAGCCCAAAGGATTTAAGTAACTCCTCAAAGGCATATAACTAAGGAATCATTCAAAGAGGCTTAGTATTGAGCTGAATCAAAGTGAGGTCTGGCTGACTCATGCTTATCTTTGTCTCACTATAACATGCCCCTGCACAGAAAACTGCTTTCCTAGGGTTTGTGTAGTTGTACATTTTCAGTTACACCCACCCTGTTCTTTACTACATAGTATTGAGCTTCAGTGGTCTTATTTATCACAGGTAAGCACATAGGTTCCTCATCTGTAAGTGAGCAATCTGGCAGGCAGCATATGGAAGCAGACAATTTGGCAAGGTCATAAGAAGGTTAATTAAGTCTAGATTTTAAAGTCTTTTTTCTAATCTGGAAGAAATATTGTTAGTGATAATACTGAGTAATAGCTATTAGCAAGGTGTCGGGCTATGTTCTATATAAACATCACATGATACAATATCTTGTAATGAAACCTATAATGAAAAAGAATCTGAAGAAGAATATATATATATAAAACTGAATCACTTCACTGTACACCTGAAACAAACACAACATTGTAAATCAACTATACTTAATTTAAAAAAAAAAGATGAGGTCATATGGGGTAAGTGTTGGCCCTAAATCCAATGACTGCTGTCTTTATGAGAAGGAGGGAAGGACACACAGAGATACACATTCAGGGAGGAAGGCCAAGTGCAGAGATTGGAGTGATGCTTTACAAACCAAGGAACACCAAGAATTGCCGGAAGCTAACAGAAATTAGGAAGAGGCAAAATGGAATTCTTCCCCAGAAACTTCAGAGGGAGTATGGCCTTGCCAACACCATTTCAGACTTCTAAACTCTGGAATTATGAAAAAATTAATTTACGTTGTTTTCAGCCAAAAAACCCCAACACATTACACAATAATATCTTGTTTAATCCTCACAATATCTCTATGAGGAAAATGCTATACTGGCCCCCATTTTTCAAATGAGAAAAATGTGATATTGAAAAGTAACTTGCTAAAAGATCTCTTGGCTGGTAAGTAGTGAGCCCAAGTATGAATCTAGGCTATCTGACACCAGAGTCCACACACTTAGCTTTTTCCTCTCTACTACCTCCCCTGGTATGGAATAGTTCAGGACATGATCTCAGAGTAGATCCTATAGAAACTTAGATTATTTCCTCAAAAGTAATCACTCTGAGACCATAGGGAGTAGCATCATGATTAAAAAAATACAAATAAAAATGAGATTTGGTGTTTTTAAAATAATTTCTTTGCTACATTAATTTCTTTGGTATGTTTCAGTTTTACTAGGAAGTCAGCACCTTTTGGGCAAATGCATGTCTTTGACTTTTTGGTTTCCTTCACTGACTCAATCATTATTGAATGACATTAAGCTTTTACTATGGAGGAGGCACCACAGTACCTAACATAGAACTAGGTGCATAAAGGAGAATATTCACATATTTATTTGGTTGAATGATTGGTTACAGAAGACAGAGGCTTTGCTTGAAGTCCTCTAGATGCAGTCCCATAGAAATTAATCATTATTGGTTTTAAAGCATAAATACAAAACAGAAATAGACTCACAGACATAGAATATAAACTTGTGGTTGCCAAGGGGGTGGGGGAGTGGGAAGAGATAGACTGGGATTTCAAAATTGTAGAATAGATAAACAAGATTATACTGTATAGCACAGGGAAATATATACAAGATCTTATGGTAGCTCACAGAGAAAAAAATGTGACAATGAATATATACATATTCATGTATAACTGAAAAATTGTGCTCTACACTGGAATTTGACACAACATTATAAAATGATTATAAATCAATAAAAAATGTTAAAAAAATCATTATTGGTTTTGATAATTTCATGACCAAATCACTAAGACAATATTCCACTGGGTGGAGGCTGAGTTGGAATCTGTTTTTGGTGTTACAACTTGTGAATTGGTGGTAGCAGATGCTCAGTGAAAATAATACTTGCTTGCTTTTTCTCTAAAAATTTAAAGGCTCTCTAATATCTCATATAGGCTGCAGTAATATCAAAAGTTTGTAGCTCAGTTTATCCACTAGTGTCTTCTATCTTGATTTAGAAACTATAGGAAATCCTTTATTTATAGCATGTCAACTCACAGTTCTCACTTCAGGACTCTGCCTGCAACCATCAAGTTCAACTTATGGTACCCTTGGTGAACTCAAAACAAATAGGCATCTGGTGCCCAGATACTTTTGAGGAAATGCATTTCTACCTTATTGCAACAAAAAAACCCCACAATCTGATGTCTAATGTCTACACAGCAAGAAAAATAGGGAGGCAAAACAAATATTCTTGCATCTATTTCTCAAAAAGCCATCAAGTAGCCTAAAATTTAGCTAGAAATTGACTTAAAGGTAAAAATTTAAACATTGCCGTAGCCCTTCTATAACATAGTGGAAAGAACATTAGAAGTGATATTGGAGACCTACATTCTAAACCCAGATCTAACTACTATGCAATCCGTATGACCAGGGGCAAAACAACATCTGCTTCCTCATCTGTAGAACAATATTCTCTCTGGGTTGTTGCAAAGGTTAAAAATAATAATGATGTACATAAAGCTACATGGAACCCTAAAAAAGTCAGTTTAATTAAAACCAGAAATATTATGTTAAAGATGTTTCTTTTTTCTTCTTTTTTTAAACAGGAAAAAAAACAAAACAGAAGTTTAATAGATGTAGATGGCCTGTATACCTGGGAGATACCCAGGGAAACTAAGTAAACCCAAAGATGTTTCTTCATCTGCTAATTTGTTGTAAAAAACTAGGAAAAGAATTATGAAGATAATAAAACCTTTGTTCATTGGCTCCTACCTTTCTGGAGTTCTGATTCATATGAAGAGTTTCACCACTGAGGATGTCTATATGAGCTTTATATTCTTTCCAGCAGGTCAAAGTGCCCATGCCCTTGAAAACACAAGAGAAGAGTACCAAGTGTCAGCTTATACAATGAAAACTCACCTCACTGTATTGTATCTCTTAGAAACTTTTTTATTGGTGAAAAGTTTCTTTTTTAAAAATTGAGATATAGTTGATTTACAATATTAGTTTCAGATATACAACAAAGTGATTCAACAATTTTATAAATGATATTCCATTTAAAGTTATTATAAAATACTGGCTATATTCTCTATGCTGTACAATATATCCTTGTAGCTTATTTATTTTATCCAAAGTAGTTTGTACCTTTTAGTCCCTTACCTCCCCCTCCCCCTCTTCCCCTACCGCGTCCCCCTCTTTCTCCCCACTGGTAACCACTCATTTGTTCTCTATTTCTGTGAGTCTGTTTATGTTTTGTTATAGTCATTCATTTGTTTTATTTTTTAGATTGTAGATATAAAGATAACATACAGTATTTATCTTTCTCTGACATTTCACTAAACATAATACCCTCTAGGTCCCTCCATGTTGTAAATGACAAAATTTCATCCTTTTTTATGACTAATATTACATTATATATATTATATATATATTATACATATACCACATTTTCTTTATCCATCCATCTGTTGTTGGACACTTAGACTGCTGTCACATCTTGGCCATTGTAAATAATTCTGCTATGAACATAGGGGTACATGTATCTTTTGGAATTAGTGTTTTCATTTTCTGCAGATATACCCAAGAGTGGAACTTCTGGATCACTGTAGTTCTATTTTTAGTTTTTGGAGGAATCTCCATACTGTTTTCCACATTGGTTGCCACCAACAGTGAACAAGAATTCCCTTTTCTCCACATTCTCGCCAACATTTGTTATTTGTGGTATTTTCGATGATAGCCAATTTGACACACGTCCGGTGATAACTCACTTACAGTTTGATCTGCATTTCTCTGATGATTAGCAATGTTGAGCACCTTTTCATGTGTCTATTGGCCAGCTGTATGTCTTCTTTCAAAAAATGTCTGTTTAAGTCTTCTGCCCATTTTTTAATTGGGTTGTTGGGTTTTTTTATATTGAGTTGTATGAGCTGTTTATATTTTTAGGATATTAACCCCTTATTGGCCATATCATTTACAAATATTTTACCCCATTATATATATGTTGTCTTTTCATTTTGTTGACGCTTTCATTCTCTGTGGAAAGCTTTTAAGTTTAACTAGGTCCCATTTGTTTGTTTTGCCTTAGGAGACAGATCCAAAAAAATGTTGCTATGATTTATGTCAGAGAGTGTTCTGCCTATGTTTTCTTCTAGGAGTGTCACGGTTTCCTGTTTCATATTTCGGTCTTTAATTGATTTTGAGTTTATTATTACATATCGTGTGAGAAAATGTTCCAATTTCATTCTTTTACTTATAGCTGTCCAGCTTTCCCAGCACCACTTATTGAAGAGACTGTTTTCTCCCCATTGTATATTCTTGGCTGCTTTGCCATTGATTATTTGACCACAAGTGCATGAGTTAATTTCTGGGCTATCTATTCTGTTCCTTTCATCTATGTGTCTGTTTCTGTGCCAGTACCATACTGGGTTGATTAATGTAGGTTTGTAGTATAGTCTGAAATTAGGAAGCATGATACCTCAAGCTCTGTTCTTCTTTCTCAAGATTGCTTTGGTTATTCAGGGTCTGGTGAAAAGTTTCTTGATTTCTGATTTATGACTGGTCTCAGTCATCTGAACCTACCAAGCTAAGCAACAGATATCTTAAACATAGGACAAAAGATGACTTTCCTCCTTCTTTTCTATTTTTAAACTCTCCTACCCGGCCTATTCTCAGAAGTTGGAATGGACCACATTACCCCTCATACTGACACAATGGACTAGCCAATCCATTGAAAACTTGAGCTCTCTAGCTTGCTGATTCACATGGTTTTTTAAGCAAAGAGGTAATTATTTTTAACTTGTAATGTGTTTTTTTCTGACTCCTAATGAGATTCAGTCAACCAAGATCCTTTTTACACCACACAAGTAAACACTTAAATAACAGAAGAAATGACAATGTCCAAAAGGAATCCCAATTTGAGATGGTTTTCCCTTAGGTAAGTCAAAATATGAATTATTCTGTCCATCTATAATGAAAAGTTAACTGAACTGACACTGGCTAGTCTCTAATAGCATTAGGCTGTCACTTTTTGATGAAGTCCAGTAATTTAGCCCTGCAGTTTAATGGCAGGATCAATGGGCAGGGAGTTAAGAGGACTTGGACTGTATTTTCATTTCTAGCTCTGGCTCATTACCATTACTTTGCCCTGACCATCTTCTATTATTACTTGGAACCTCAATTATATTAGCAGTGCAGAGCAATATGGAAAAACTACTCTGTAAGCTAACAACTAAGAGGATGCAGCAGTCCCATTTCTGCAAATGATGTACCATTGTGGTCTCAGGCAAGAAATAGTCTGTCTTGGTGCCTCAGTTTCTTTATCTATAAAAACATAATAAATTATTTGCTCCTCTTTCCCTCCAGTTTCTTCATAGAAATACAGTGATGGAAACTATCAATTATACAAAAGATTTTTGACCTTTCTAGGCTGTTGCTACATGAAGACAAGTGTCCTTTTTATTATTTCTACTGGTATTTTTAGGTACTTGGTGCTTCCTGAGTTTCAGCCATATCAATTTTACCTGGGAAAGATTACTACTTATAATGCCATTCTTGCAGAATGTTTGCAGAAATAAAATAGGCTATGGAGAATATGTTTACCCCCAAAAAACCCAAAATTACTTCACAAAATTTTTTATTATTGGCAGTTAACAATTCTGATTCACATTATCACCCCCAACCATCTTAACTTACGAGAGACCGCTTGTTAATTCAGAGTTGTCTATAGCCATTTTGTCTCACTAGCAAATACCAGCTAACAAATGAGGATACTATTCAGTTGATCCTGGTTATTCTAGGATTTTTGTAAAATGCCTGAGAAAAGTGTGTAGGTAGTGAGGGATCTTAAAATCTAAGAATAGTTGACAGATAGCTTCTAATCTATTTAGTTTTGTGTGTGTCAAACCTAAGAATTTTATAGGGATATTCACCTATCTCATGTAAATAATAGGAGGGTTGATAGATAACAAGTAATATCCTATCTAATTACTAAAAGAAGTATTATTCTTACAAAACACATTTTAATTTTTAAAGATTGTGATGATAATGTATTTTGTTATATAATCTCTTTGTCACCTAAGAGTGCTATCAGATCCAAAACTCAGACAAAGAAAAAAATTCTCAGACTGAGACATGAAATCATATTAATTCAAAGACAGGTCTGAAACCAAGAAGATAAATCTCTCTCTTCCTTTATAAAAGGAAGAGAGAAACATACGTACCACAAATCCCAGCCAAGGAAAACCCAAGATGTAGAGTTGGCTTAAAACTGACAGAGATCCTTGCAGGCAGGTCAGAACTGTAGATGCCTGGTAACAAGGGGGATTAATCATTAGAAAACTGGAAACCAAAGGTAGGAGATCTAGTTACTTTCATTACAAAAAATACACATAGGAAACCTATTACACTCCTTGAGCATAGATCTTCATTCAGTCAATCAATAAATTTGTATTAAGCACCTGTATATGCCAGACACTACTCTAGACACTGGGAGCTCAGCAGTGAGCAGAACAAAGTTCACTGACCTTGTGCAGCTTATATTTTAGTTAAGGGGGGAGCAGACAATAAACAAATAAATAAGTGAAACAGATGGTATGTCAATAGAAATAAGTCTATGGAGAAAATTTAAGTGGGGAATGCTGGGGGTGGGAAGTGGGGTTGCAGTTTTAAACAGGGTGGTAGAGAAGTCCTCACTGAGAAGACGGCTTATAAGCAAAGACTTGCAGAAGACAAGGGGGAAGAAAAGTCATGCAGCTGTCTAAGGAAGAGTGTTCCAGGCAGAGAACACAGCAAATGCACACATCTTGAGGCAGCATCCTGCCCAGCACATTTGAGGAAAAGTAAGGAGGCTATCATAGTTGGAGCAGAGCGACAAAGGGGAAGAATAGTAAATGATGTCAGAGATATAAGGAGAGAGACACCAATTAAGTTGAGCCCTGAAGATCATCATGAAGACTCTGGCTTTTACTCTGAGTAGGACGAGAAGTTAGAGGGGAGTACTGAGCAGAACAAAAGCACAACGTGACTTAACAGTCTAAAAGGATCAGTCTGACTATTGTTCACAAAGGGGCAAGATGGAAGCAAGACCATTTAGGATACTATTCCAGTAACCCAGGTAAGAAAGGATAGTAGCTCAGAGAGGCTTGTGTGATAGAGGAGTGAGAAGTTACATTATTCTGGTTATATTCTGAATGTACAGGGATCAGAATTTGCTAAAGGACTTGAAATAAGATCAGAAGAGAAAGAGGAGTCAAAGATGACATCAAGATTTTTGGTCTGAAAAACTTGAAAATAGAGTTGCTGTTTATTGACACAGGAAAGATTGTGGGAGGAGTCTTTTAACCTTCTTTGGATCCTCATAGTCTAACACAATGGCAACTACATGGGAATGTTCAGTGTATACCAATAATCTAATTTGAATCTAGTTTCCATGTATTTGAGATCAGAGTTGGTCTAAATAAAAGACAGACTCATTTGAGTTACTACACGAGGGCTCGGTCTAGAGTCTAGAGCAAAGTTAAAACCAGTGGTATGCTACATCTAAGTTGTACTAGCTAGCAAGAGCCAACTGCTAAATTTTCAGGATATTATTGCAAGCCAGGTTTTAAACACAGTTATATATTTTTTAAATTATTGACTTATAGTTGATTTATAATATTGTGTTAGTTCCTGGTGTACAGCAAAGTGATTCAGTTATACATATACAGATATATATAATCTATAGATATAGATATATAGATATATTCTTTTCCATTATAGTTTATTACAAGATATTTAATATAGTTCCCTGTGCTATACAGAAGGAACTTGTTGTTTATCTGTTTTATATATAGTAGTGTGTATTTGCTAATCCCAAACTTCTAATTTATCCCTCACCCCTACTTTCCTCTTTGGTAACCATAAGTTTGTTTTCTATGTCTGTGATTCTGTTTCTGTTGTGTAAATAAGTTCATTTGTGTCATTTTTTTCAAGATTTCGCTTATAAGTGAATTCCACACAGGGGAAGAAAAAGGCCTTAATTACTGACCAAACTCAGAATAGCTAAAAGAGATTAGCATCTATATTCAATCACAGCCTCAATAGAATTAAACCTGGGACAAATTAGAAACTGTTAACAGGGAAGATTAACAGCTTTGGATTGCCTATTTGTATATCTGATATTGTAAGGGATAAGGAGAAAATGGGGACTAGTCAATGCCATAAGCAGTGATTGCATATTTGTGAGAACTTCCTGTATCTAGGATCTTATATTATATTGTTAGGCCTTATAAAAAAGAAACATCGAAGGTATTAAAGACACTATTCCTTTGAGACAGCTAGAAAAATAATACAGTTTAATTTTACTGTATACATATGGACAACAATGAAAAAGCACAGAATTTAGTGATTCATTTTTTAAAAGCAGGAATAAAAATATGTATATTAACTATAAATGTGGCAGTTAAAACAACAAAAACTTTAAAAAGACAAGGGGAACTATTAAAAAATACATGTTTGATCCCCAATTTCCCCAAATCTTTCCACTTCACTGATTCTAAATGTTTACAAAACTGGTTCCCCCCCCACTTCCTTAAATATATTAATTCTCCATTTCCCATTCTCCCCTACTGGCTCTTTATTCAAAGCTTTAATCTTATTTATTTAAAATGTCTTTATAAATTGTTTTCCATAGCTCAGGGAAACTTCAAATTTAACAGAATCACTTGGTTTGCATTAGTCTTATTTCCCCAGACATATTTATGGATATGAGGACGTGGAATTACTGGGTCAAAGGACAGGAACATTTTAATGGTTTATGGGTTTATCAACACTTCAGTGATGTATGAAAGTACCTGTTCATTTTACCTTTGTTTATTTGATATGATTGCTTCAATATTTACTAAGTTCCTAAGTGAAAACGGATACTTTGTTATTGTTTTACTTTACATTTCTTTGATTACTAGTGAAGTTGAGTATTTTTTTCTACATGTTTGTTCACTAATATTGTCATTTGTTACCCATTTCTTTGAGGTCTAGTGTACTTTTATCAATTTATATGAGCTCTTTACATAAAAAGTTAATAGCCTTTACATTTAATAGTTTTTACAGGTTTTTCCATTCTGTTGTTGCCTACTCATTTCAGTTACTTAAAACAAATCAGTTCATATTTTCGTTTGATTTTTTAAAAAATTGCTAACTATAAAAATAATTACCTTCCAGAGGCTTATTATACATTCCATTCCATTTTCTTCTGATTATTCCATTGTTTAATATTTTATACCTACTCTTTAATTCATCTGTAATTTATTTTGATATATAGTATAAGAGAATGATCTAAATAATTTTTTTCTAAATTGGTAATCATTCCAAAATGGTCCTTCCTTTCTGGATTGATTTATGAAATCCCCTGTATCACACAGTAAGTTCCAATATGTAATGGGACTATTTCTGTAGTAGGCTTTTTTTTTAATCTTGTACTTCCCTGTTTTAATATATTAGTTTGGGTATATTATTCTATTCAATTGATTTAGTCCTTTTTCATAATTAAAAAATGTTTTTCTCTTCTATTATTTGCATTATTATTCTCCCAGATCGAGTTTTAGAATCATTGTACCTATTACAAAGACTTGGATAGAAAAAATAGTCCTTTTTTTTTTAATAGAACAGTAGTTATTTCTGCAACATTACTAATTATATTAACAATTATTAATTAGATTAACCACAAGGAAAGATATATATAAAGTTAACTAATGCTATTGAATTGTACAGTATTGTCTGACACACTTCAATGTCTCAGAAGTTTGACAGAAAAAGATTTTTTAAGACTTAAAAGAGACAAAAACGTCTACGCAAAGTTTTCCCTGGGAAGCTATTTTATGATTTGGAAGAAATATTTCTCTTTGAAGCAAATAAATACAAAGAATATGAAACTCAAAGTGATTGAAAATATAAATTTACATGCTTTTGAGTACATTATATATCTTGCAATAAACCTTTCACTGTGAACAATTTAACAGTAGAGCTACGTGTACTCATTGTCCTAATTCAAGTTATTTTCAACATACAGTAATTTGCCTAAGTATCATTTGAGCCTCCTAGAAGTTAACAAAAGAAAGATTTTCTCTCTCAATTTTATTTCTTTCTTAAACATAATAAAATTCTTAGATACCAAATAGAAATTGAGAAAAGTTGAGAGACTCTGTAAGACTCTAATTATGATACATATTTCTTGGTACTTAAAAAAGTGAAAATTGTACTCCCATGTACCATGAGTCTCATATGTGAAATTTAAAATAGACACATAGAAACAGAAAGTAGGGTGGTGGTTGCTAGGGATTGGGGGAGGGGAGGAAATGGAGAGATGTTGGTCAAGGGATACAAAGTTCTAGTTATGCAAGATTTAATGTATGACAATGTAACTATAGTTAACAATATTATATTGTATATTTGAAATTTACTGAGTGTAGGTCTTTATTGTCACCACAAACACACACACAAAGGTAATTAATTGAAGTGATGGATATGTTAATTATCTTGATTGTAGTGATTATTTCATAACGTATATGTATATTAAAACATCAAGTTGTATACTTTAAATATATATAATTTTTACATTGTCAATTATATGTCCATAAAGCTGGGAGGAAAAGTGAAAATTAAATTCCATTGTCCTAACATGAATGACTTAGTCAGCTTTCATGCTTTTAGATGAGTCTCTACAGGGCTCCACTATGTCATAAGTATAGATAAGTATAACTTATCTATAGATAAGTATAACTCAGATAAAAGGTAATAGAAATATTCAATTTGAAGTATTTTCCTAGGAGTCTATGGTAATGCTTTAGAATCTAAGCCACAGTTTTTCCTAACAGTGTCTAAGTTTATTAAGTGACAAAGGCATTAGTTCTCCAAAAATAACCAGGAAACTGGACTTGCCCAACAGTAACAAGGCCACTCTTTGTAAAAGGAAAGAATCAGGCGTGAGTGGGAACTCGCGAAGAGCAGCTTTGTGTACCCTACGTTTCTTTTTCAAAATGATTCTATCAAAGGTATTTCATTATAATATTGGTTTCTGTCATAATTGGCTCCCATTTCAAAAGAAGCCAGCCACATTGGAAAAGAATGTCAAGAGTGTCCAAGAGTTATTAATTTATATGTTTCCTTTTGTCACTTTAAAAGTCTTTGAGATATGATTTCATTTTCTCACCTTGCTTTCATAAGCTCTTACTTATGAAACATGTTATCTTTTGCTTTTGATTTGTCAAGTTTCTTTACACTGAATATTTATATATTTTCTAGATCTCTGTAATTACTTGATTTCCAGTTCCTA